CCCAATTTCGGGAAAAAAAAATCCCCCCCTTCCAAGGGCTTTAAAAATTTTTAATTTAAAAAGGGCCCTGTGTGTTTTTTTTTTTTCCCTTTTTTTCCTTTCCCCCCCCCCCCCCCCCCCCCCACAAGTAATGTGTGCCATCTAACCAGAGTTATGACAGGGCACATAAAGTCACTATTGATTTGTTATTGTGGCTTTAAAGGGGACATAGTTTCACCCGAGTCCACCTTGCCCAAAATAATGCCTACGCTCAACAGAACAAACATATTTTGCCCAATAGTATTGATATAAAGTCTTACAGTTAACCAGGATTTCAAAAGAGAATCAACAAGTCTTTAAAGACAAAGAACTTTTATGTGTACTGCTAAGGTATTGTCTATGTTCAACTTAACCTGGTATTTCTATGGAATTTTAGCATGTCTGTTGGAGACAAAGGAGTTTAAGCTATAAATGTTCAACCATGTTATTGTGCGATCTCAGACCTAAGTTCTTAGGCAAAGGTAAGAGTCTAGAGACCAGAATAGTTCATGACAGTTCTGTTAAAATGATTTATTTAAATGAATTTATTAAGCTGATGCAGAAAGTTATGCAGTTAAATGTAACTTTGATTTAATTTCCCCAAGGGTATAATTAAATAGACATTTTTTACTTCAGTTAGATAAGAGATATTGTGTAATCCGATCATAGTGATGAATTGGAAAGAACAACAGAGAAAGAGCTGAAGAAGCACATTCTATTGCTTTGACAATATTGCCATTGTAATTACATTAACAACATCAATCATGGAAGGTCAACTGCAGTGATATATTAATGAGTCAGTCTGTTGCCTGCACCTGCACCAAAACAGTAGTCCTTGTTGTTAAGACCATTTTATGTAGTAGCTAGTGTAAGAGTTCGCTAATATAGAGAAGGCAAATACTTGACTGTCCTTAAAGCAGGGAAATGTGTTTTGTCAATGACAAATTGCCTTCTAATTGTCTTAAATTGAATTACCAAGTAAAGAAATTCACCTTCATTCAGACTGATTGCATTCAAATTTAAGTTAACTTTCAGAGTGAAAATGTTTTAAGATTATCTTGTGTTTTCCCCAATCTACCTTTTATGAGAAAAAAATTCAGGAAGTACAGATATAAGTTTGCTCATCAGGAAGTATTTCATTTAGCATCATGAAAGCTTGTTTTTGCAGTTTGTCCCAAGATGAAAAATAAACCCCCTTGGTATCCAATTATGCTGTTTTTGTGGACTAGGAAGTTTCTGCACCTCATGGCGGGTGTCAGAGTTCACATTAACAAGTGGGGATATCACCAGTGTGGTAAATATAAATGTAGCAGCTGAATTTGAGTACCAGTCCGTCTCATTGTACATAGATTCCTGTCTCTTTGGTTTACTGGGCTTTTAAAACAGTGACAGGACTTTTTGTAAAAAAAGGAGGATCTCAAAGTTCTTCTGTACAGTAGGTATATACTGTTCTTTTATTAATGTTTCATTGAACTGATGTAAAAAGCTATGTTACCTCTATTAGTCAGGTCCCAATATTCAAACTAATGTGTATTTACAATCATAGTTGTTGAATGTGGCTAGATAAAGTTTTGACAGTGGTCAGTGTAAATAGGTTGAACATGTTTCAGTTGTATCTATCACATCTTATCACATGGTTAATGGTATTAGTATAGAGCCTGTATCAATATAAATACTGTATATATCATTACTGGGCATTTTGGCCCTTTAAAATTTAATGATATCAGTTAATAGACCAAAATGACTTGCACAGGATTTAAGTTACATCTGTGAAAAATGTATTATGATGTATTCGTTTCTGAGAATTTCAATCTTTTTCAAAAACATTTAAGTTTTGACAAATGCATTAACATTATCAGCAATTTAAACTAACAAACTTGAAGTGCTTTTGAGTCAGGATATAAGATCTGACAAAGATCCTGTTTTTAGGACAATAAACAACAAAAAATTAGTTCTTTATCTGGTTCTTTTTACTATTTTTGTTAGGTAGAGTGGGGAGGTACTTGCCATATACATTGAATCTTCACCTAAGTCAGTGCTTGAATGTATAAGAGTCATCAAAATAAAGAGATGCAGGTATTTTATGAAGTACATTCTAAGTTCAAGAATGCATAACCTTGTATTGTTATGTTAATCTCCTTGCACTTCATGTCAAGCATGCAAGTTATGGGAGTTGAATTCATGCTTTGTTACTTGTAAAAATGAATAAGACTTTGGATGAAAACCAAAATTTTCACATGCTAATTTTCTCACAAATGTGCTTGTCAAAGATGATCTGATTTGAAGAAAAAAAGACATCAGAACTTCAATTTGTAATTTGTAAACAAATAGAAATTGACAAAATCATGTAAAATTGGACAGGCATTTATTTGAGTTTTGTGATAAATATATATATACAAAAAAAGAAAGATTAAAAGTGCTTTGCTTAAGCCCTTTCAAATCCCCACTGGTTATAGCACAGATGGTACATTATTAAAAATTCACCTGGCGTGCCAGCACAGGGGTATTCCCCACAGACACGTCAATTTCTCCGTCGTGATTAGTAATTTTCTCATGGAAGCCTGGGGCTCAGTCGTTCTTTTTCACCTGGTACCATGGTGAAGGAAACAATAAAAACAGGTATTATCAAAAGCCTCAGTCATAACTGTGACTGGACGCCCTAGCCACCAAACCTCGCGTGCAAAAAAAAACTGGTCTGGCTGCAGCCAGGGTGGGAAAAGTGGTAAGATAGCCATCAGTTGTTTTCATTCTTGAAATATTCACGTTCAGTTGTGGTCACTCGATTAAATCTGTGGTTTTTTAAGGGGTCATTGCATTACAACCTTTCAGTCATATTCTGAACATTCCATAACAAATTTAAAATCTTAAGAACTGCACTATTTTTGAAAAATAAGGTACAGTAAAATTCATTAATGTCAGGGTAATGGATTGGTGAAGCCTGTCAAGCTTTACGCTAAATTATAGCAATTAGAGTTCAAAGTTTATAGCTTGTCTGGAAGGTAGGGCGCAAAAGATAAGTGTTGGGTGCATCATCAAATTAGATTAGATGTGACAGGCGATATATATATTTATACCGTATATATATTGCATGGAGGATAAGTCACCACTCATAGCTGGGTGTGAGTTAATAGACTGGATATATATATATATGTTTTTGTGAGTATTAGTCCTATCACTGGGTAGTGAGTGGGAGACAGTTGGCAAAACAATTGACTGGTATCATGAGGGACTTTTTCAACATGTTGGGGCCAAAATTGGCCAACAATGTCAAGTCTTTGGCTGGAGTCATTATGATACCACGGTAAATGTAATTTGTTGATAGTGATTAATATAATCCAGCATGTTATGAGAGTTTTGATAAAACTCAAATTTAATATTTATTTATTTATTTACTTATTTATTTATTTTTTATTCATTTGAAAAAAATAATTATGGCAATTTTGTATTTGTCTTGTTATTTTTTGATAGAGGTCACATAAAAAAACAGGGATACAAACAGGAATACAGAGGTTCTCCTGTTTGGAACTATTTCAGCATAACAGTAGTTGTGCTGGTAATATAATTGAAATATTTAGAGTACTACAGCTAGTGTTGAACTGTTTTTAATGCTGAGGGAACTAGAGGTCAGCAGTGGAATTGGATGGGAACTGCCTTCCTATATACCAGTGTACTACTAATGGAAGACCTTTACTTCTATGGCTACTGATGGCTCCCAATTACCATGCATCGATCTCATGAAAATCCAATTTTCCAAGAATATTATCTGAAATGAGTTATTCTAATGCTGTTGCAGCGAGTTGGAAGACACTGTGGAAGTGACCATGCGTGAGTTCAAAAGCGACACATACCCCCGCAGACGGAGAAGTGCATCCATGGCGGAGGTGAAAGAACAGGCCTATGGCCGACTGCAAGACGAACTCAACAAGGCTCAACAGGTACCGTAATTTCTTACTACATAAAATATCATGATTGACGTCTTACTTAATTGATCAAATACTGCATTGTGTTTTTGAACAGAAAACCTTGTTTTTACGTCCTTGCATGTTATACTATTGGATTCTTGATTTGTGCTCCAGTACAATGTATGTTTTTTAGGTGGTACTAGTACCCTAATATGCTTTAACATGTAATATTACTAAGCATAGAGAATAATAATACTTCACATGCAACATGATTTATAACTACATTTATAAGTCAGTTTTCAATATGTTACACCAGCATGTGCTGTGAATGCAGGACCAACTATTTGCATATATATTCAATGGTTATACACCATTTTTACAAAGAATCATCATCAGTATCATTCAAATCGTATGCAACAATTTCTTTGCAAATTATTGTTCATCTAAATTTTTTTTTATATCTAATTTGAGGGTGTTGTCTGCAAAATGACTCCAACATTTCTGTCTGAAATCACATATATCACTATAGGAGTTTAGTAACGACCAAGGAAGGGCTAATCTTCACATATATTATTATTTATGTTTGATTATATCTCCTGCTTTTTTAATATATCTTGTCAAGAATAAAATGGATTTTAGAAGGAGTATTAACCTGAAAGAAAATGGCATGTAAAAGGCTAATATTACCTTTTATAAACCATTTAATTTAAATATTGGTTTTGTAATTCCAAGAAAACCCACAATGTTAAGGCTAACCACAGTCAAAATAACTGCACCTCTGAGTTTCATTCTATCACCTTGAAAGAAAATCGATTTTTAAGATGAGACACAAGATTTCTCGTTGGAAAAAAAAGACATAAATGAACAACAAGAAATATGTGGCCATTGGGTTTAGTACAAGTCTGTACCACAGCATGAATAAACAGAAAACAAGATAGATAAAAGGTCCTCTCATGCATACTAAATAACCTAATGGAAGAATAACCATATAATTTAGGGAACCACAAGAGTTAGCCTGGCTTGGTACGGGCTTTTTTGGAAGGTGCATTGTGGTCTCAAATAATTAGGGGTTGCATGGTGATTTTAGTGTTTTTGTCATAATTGTTATTTATTTTCAGGAGTTAAAACTTAAAGACGAGGAATGTGAAAAGCTTTTAGAGGTGCGAGATCAAATGGGAAGAGAATTAGAAGAACTTACTGCAAGTCTGTTTGAGGTAAAAATATGAATTTGATGTAAAGGTGATGAAAACTTTAAAACATTTTATGAGCATGCAAATTATACTTATCAAGGATGCAGAGGAAATGAAATAAAAACTCATTAAGAGTTGTAATTTCAAACGAACGGACTGAATAAAATCTTCCTTATTACACCGTTCTCAGAAATTCAGAATAGAATTTATTCTTTCCTTATAAGTAAAGTGCATTGCACACATGAAAATCCCATTGGCTTGAAAAAGGGCATTCCCCTAGCATATATTAACATTCACTCAAAGGCACAGACTGTTTTCATCACACTTCAGTATATGCTATGGTATCTTAATTACCGTCTGTGACAATTGATCTCCATTAGTTGGTAATAATAAATGATGGACTGCCTCTACCTTGTGATGCATCTGTACAGCCTTATGCATGTTTTTTTTTTACACAGCAATATTGCTTTTGTTGGGGTGGGGGCTATTTAGCCTTATTTCATATATGGTTTCATTTTGCTCTTTAAAAGTCAATAATTATAATAAAAAATGGAAGAATGGACTTTCTACCCAAAGGCAAAGAGTAAGCTGGAGAGTACAGACGAAGCAATTTCTGCAGAAGAAATTTGTAGAACACTGAAACACTGAAAAGACTGCCTACAACAAGTTAACAGGCTCTTTGAGGAAATTTTTTGCAGTACTCAAAACATACAATAGTAGTAGTCATATTTACACTCACTGGTTGTGGGTTTGTTTAAAAATGGCTATTTACATGGTCCAACAAATGTGACAGATGAATTATTCATGAATTATTGGTACAGTGGATTTTATTTTTTTGCTCAGTTTGATTAAGAACAGTACGTTAGTGCAGTTTTGAAGAAATTCTTTAATTTGTTTTTTTTCTTTCTTCTTAATTTAGGAAGCAAACAATATGGTGCAGGACGCCAATATCAAACGGATGCATGCAGAAAAACTGCTGAAGGAAGCCAACACTAAGGTAAGGAAATGGGCTTTTAATGACTTTCTAGCTTTTTGGTTAAGTAAGAAGTGTTGGCAAAATGTGATGTGAATCATGAAGGGGATCATAAAATTTACATGACACAATTTAACTTAAAATTTTATTTGACTTCAGTGGAAATGTGGTTAAAATGGGTCACACTAATCAACTTTATATCAAAGCTTCAAATAAGGTTGCCATTTCTTCTTTTTTTTTTTTTTAGCAAATAAATTTTCTCTTTGAATAAAGCAAAGCACTTGTAAACACTTCTAGTGCAATAAAGTTGAAAAAGTATGACAGGTTTTATTTATAATGTATATTTTGTGAACAGATAGAGGTTTTACAAGCAGAAGTTGTGGCCCTGAAAGCCTTAGTGATCACATCCACCCCCAGTATGCCAAATAAACACCTCCATCCTCAGCTGGAGCATGAAAAGAAAAAGAAAGAGGGCAGTGCTTCGCCCAAGCTTAGTTTTATCAAAGGACACAGGAGGTATGTGTGTATTTAGCATAAAATCTGCTGTTCTATTTATTTTTGTCATTATCTTTTATTTGAAAAAATTGTAATGGAAACATTGGTTTTGAGCAGATGTGATATGAGAAAAAAAGATGCTGAAATTGAGCTGTGAGAATATCTGTTGTTACATATAAAATGTTACTTTTGAAAGAAATAATAATGGAATCGTGAGCTTGTGACGACACTGTGGGTTGAATAGTGCAACCACGATTATGTGAATTTAGCATGCCCTGTTCTCAAAGCTCAAGATCTGAAAAGAAAAAAATTGCGTTTCTTGTTGTGGTGTTATCATTTACTTTTTCTTTTGTATTTTAGGTCTACAAGTCATCATGACATCAAAGCAGTTGCTGTGGAGCCTGTGAAATCTGAGGAAATACAGAAAAAGGAGGTAAATAACCATTTTTGAGAGAGAGAGAGAATGTAAAGGCAGAAGAAATAGACTCGTATTCTTATGTTTTCTGTTCCAGCAAGGCAGAGATATTTTACTTCTATAACTTGCATTTTGGTACATGCATTAACATCTTGAATTGAAATAGACTGCTTGTTCAGTTGAAAGAATCCAAAATGAGTTATATATATAAATTTGCATGTATTTCAGGCTGACCCAATCTTCCTGCACGAATTCAGAGAATGGAAAAAGGATCCCAATCACAATAATTCTAATGCATTTATCACCAGAGTAGAACAAGAAGATGTCATTCCATGTTTATGCTTTACAAATAAAGAAGTAAGTCCTTATCTACTCAATTTCCTTTTTTTTTTCTACACTAAAGATATTACTTATGAATTGTGTAAATGAGCTCCTTACCTTTGGTTGATTATTTAAGAGGTCTATTTTCAAAGGTTATTAACATATCTAATGTCAACAGTGACGCAAGTGAATCACCATCAAGTTCTGATGTTACACCGATTTGCAATAACTACTGCTTAATAAGAAGACATTTCTGAGCATTATCATTGTTATGATTTCCTGCCCAACAAATTGCAGACTTGAAAACAAATATCTGATTTGCAAGTACTGATAATTTAATCAATCCAGTGAATGCATACATGCAAGACAGATTGATCTGTCCGTAGAATATCAAGACGCATTTGTCACACTAAACTGGTGCTGGCATTGTATGCATGATAAAATCAAGTCTTGCTGATAGAATATGGATGTTTTCCATCCCTTGCACTTGCATTCATTTGCAAAGGCACATGCTCTATCTTGAATAAACAAGATCGAAGTGCAGTGTTGTTTTGTTGGAAAAGTGCACTGATATAGTAGTTTTCTTTATCCCACTGTTTGTAACCCACATATGTCAGTTATTTAAATACTTACTTTTACACAGTTTAGAGTACTTCAGTCTGGTACAAAACATGACAAAAAGAAAGTTGCTTTAACGTCTCTTGCCCAGACCTAAATAGGGATTGTATCTTGGTTTTTATCAGAAAAGAAATGTATGTCCAAACCTCAATATTGCATTACTGTAACATTTGTTTTTACAGTGTTTTTATCATATGCATATCATTTCTGTTTGCCCTTACCAAAACAAAATATTTTTTTCCGTACACCCAAAGCATGTGGCATTTGATTTTCCCCCTGGGCCAATGCTCTTATCAAATGAATATATTTCACCGTTTCAGCTTTCCTCCAGAGTCCTTGCCACAGTTCAGAACAACTCCTTAACTATTGAGCCCATTCCAGGAAATGTCCAGGGAAATGGAAATATCCCAAAGTAAGATGATATATTGATTTGTGTTTGCTTTGTGTGTGTGTGTATTATTCCATTTGTTCAGCTTTGACATTTGTGTGCTACTGGGTATGTAACTTAATGTGCTGTATTCTTGTTCCTGTGATCTTTCTCTGGACTTGCTCAACCGTATGATGTCAGATGTTCAAATAATATTTTGGGCTAAAATAACTGCAAAATTGATTTAAAGAAAACATTTTGCTTCTTTTTATGTGTTAAATAGATGAATCAGTAAATAATAATGAAATGAATTTCAAGAGAATAAATTTTCAAGGAAAAAAAAAAGATTGTGAACAGTATGTTAAGTGTTGTTAGTATATTTACTTCACTCAGATTTTATATATATGTGCTATTAGCTGTATGTCCCAGTGTGAGATACTATTTCCTTATGACATTTCTTGCTTAGAAATTAGATTGTGGTGATCTCTCCTACTGGCGCTGAACATCGCACGATTCATTTGTTATCCAGCTTTTATCAAGATAGTGGCTTTGATGGATTGGAATTAATAGAAGTCATGAAAGCAATGAAGAAAATGGAAATGTTTAGTGGCTTGTACTGTTTTCTAGGAAATTCTATTTCAAGCTAGTTATGTATGATGCATGAGACTTTTATTTGGGACAGAAACATGAAAATTGATGTGAAGAGTTTAATTAATAAGTTTCCACCACTTACATCTGAATAACTTATTTGAATTGAACATAATGGAATTAAAAGTATAAAGAATTTATGTTTATCTCCTGTTTCAGAAAATGTGCCTTGTCTGAGGCCCCAAGGATATGCAAGTTCAGAATGAAATGTGGGGATTCAGAAACATGGTATTTTGTATCAGAAGCAGCCAGAAATAGAGTAAGTTGATTTAAAGTTTAAAATCTAGACTTTTAATTTTTTTTACTGATGTTTAAGTTTGTGTTGCTAAAGAGAAAAATACCAGCACTAATGTTTGTTTATTGATGTTTGTTGAATGTTGCATTTTCCTTCAATTATTATGATATCTTTATTTTAATAAGTATCCTAAAAAAAGGTATAACTACATAAATTGTAAATGTTTATTATTTTTGTTACAGATCACTGCTGTCTGTGACTTGTACACATATCTGAGGTACATAAAACAAGGCCTAGTGAAAAGTGAAGGTAAGTTCATTAAATTTTTTTCATATCTTATATCATGATTTTTTTAAAGGAATTTTTCACATTTTAAAATAGGTTTAAAAACTTCTATTTACATGATTTGTATACAATACTGTTTAATGTCGCTTTACTTTTTTTTTTAGACACTGACATGTATTGGCACATTATCAAGTTGAGGAAAGCAATGGCTATGGCAAGGTTAGGGCTTTCATCATGATGTTGGAAATGGTTTTCCAGTGGAACTTTTCATTCTTCATTTTCATGATCATTCATCACCATAGAGAAGCCAGCTTTAGACATGCTCAATGGCCTTCAATCTTAACTGCCCTGGCCATTTTTTTCAAGGGGCATTCTGTCGCTTGATCGATTGGCACATTCTCATGTATGGACAATAATTAGTCCTCAAAAACTATACCTCAGTTGCCGTGGTTCTGCTGTCTTTAATGGAAACATATGCAAGACTGTTGGCATTTTTTGACCTAGAAAGAGGGAGAAGTGTGGTGTACTTAGTAACAACAGACAAAAAAACTATTGGGCAAGCATAACTGATTCTTGTAAACTGGAGGATTTCTGAAATGTGACACAGTCATGGATGTATGAACTGAATATTAGTTGAAACTCTCTCTCTCTTTTTTATTATTATTATTTTTTATTATTATTTATTTATTTTATTTATTTTTGCCCAATGCTCTTGTTCCTTTTTATGTACAGACCTCTTTCATGACCAGGGCTTTATAACAAGCATTCTGCGATTCACTTAAGATCTTCCTACATGTGATAATCTTATAAAAATGAAAATGAATCCATCAAAACCCTTGACGTTTGAACACAACATCATTATTCTGTTCAGAGAATTATTTCATAATTTAACAGACACGGGTTGAAACACAATATATGAATATTCATATCTGAGCAAATATGGCCAGTAATCTGATTTTTTAAGCAAAGTTTATGATCAGCAGTAGTTAAAAGTTCAATACGTCATGACATTATTAAAAGTTGCTAGTCATTACCAAAATGATAATTCTAATTACCCTCAATTATTGTAGAACATCAAAATAAGTCTACTATACTTTGTTAAAGATAAGGCAAATTTGTGAGTAATCATGTCAGTTCTTGTTCGTGAATAGAAAGACTGTCTCATCATTATTTTTCCCCTTAAGTGCTGGTCACTTATCATATTTAGAAAATGGTACATATAATAATTATATGGAATTAAGAATTGGAACCCTAATTACATCAAAAATAACATCATGCACCCTATTGCACAAGTACTTTACTCACTGCTATATATTTCTCAAGAATCTGGAAAATCAAGTTTTAAAATATCAAAAGTAGTGAGTCAGGTCATTAGTGATTGTGCACAAAGTTTATCTTTATTGTTTCTATGAAAGAAAGGTGATACTGTTTATGAAATGTATTTTTATGATGCAGTGGAAAATGTTTCTTTATACAGAAGACTGCTGAGAGTAGATGAATTTGATATGAATAAGACAAAAATTATTGCTAAATTTCATTTAACAGGTATTTCCAATATATATAATCATGTACTCTTTTACTATTGTAGATTAAGAATCATATTGCACTGTCTATTCTTAAACAGGAAATACAGAACTGATATACAATCAAGACTTGGTTATTTGTCTTCTTTATTGCCAGTGCTAAAATGGTCTATTAACACAAATAAGTTTTAGCTGATTTGTCATGTATGTTTTAAAGTACAGAAAATGTCTTATTTCAATCCATATCAATTTGTGATGTTATGGAAATGTTTGAAAATAATGGGTCAAATTTTGACATAAAGGCAAGGGGAAGCATGTAAAAAATGACAAAGCAGAGATTAAAATTTTCAATTATTAGATGCTCGTTTCTTGACATTAAAGGAAAAATAAAAATATTATGGGGATATTTACAATTGAGAGTACATAAATCATGCATCTCATTATTCACCCTGAGAGGGGTGCGTCCCTTATCAGCACGCTATGAGTAATAGTTTAAGTGGAGCGCAGAGAGGCGTTGCTTATCTCTATAGGTGAGTTGTCTAACTTTGATGTTTGAAACCTGCTCTTAAGAAAAAAATATCACGGCCATGGCCAGTGCATACAAGTAATAGAGATTCACACATTATAAATCGAATTTTAACAAGTGCCTTAAAAAAACCTTGGAAGGTATGCTATCCAAGTAGGCCCTATGTAGCAGGCCTATATCGGCACTTCCAGAGATGGAAATGTCAGTAACGTCTATTATTCATAAATAAGAGTCCAGACTTGCCCTTGAAGTTCCCTGTGACAGAAAAATGTGGGGTCAAAACTACATCTGATGTCCATTAAGGTTGAATTATTTGCTCTGGGGCAGCTTTCTGCTTCCACTCGGTCCAGCCGCCCTAGGATAAGTAAAAATGAATATAATTTTAGAAATTCTTTCTTGCATGTTCAGTTAGAAAAGAAGACTCTACTTGACGATGAAGGATTTGAAGGGATGAAGTATTTTAAATCCACACCCATCAAATCCAAAAAAAAAAAATACTGAAAAAATGAACTAGTTATATGCTAACAGCATTTTGATATTAAAATAATTGTAGAAAAACGAAATTATTCAGAAAGAAATGAAACCGTGTGCGCATGTACAAGAACGTGCGCGCCTGTGCATGTGCATTTGAGGAGAGGCAGTAAGAATTCTTACATGGTAAACAGCCGCCTGTGGAAACCCTGCTATCATAGCCGCCACCATGACGCTGCACGAGGATACGCCTCCGTTACATAGCGTGACAACCGGTTTATTCTCATTCAACCCAGAGTCAGCAAAAACTAGTGATAAAAAATATTATATTGATACGAAGATGACTCATATGTGTCAGAGAGATTATGGAGTTTTTAAAAAGATTTCACAGACTTCAAGCCCGTTAGATATATTTGCAGTATAATAAGCCAACTCTGCTGTACATTTATTTAGACAATCACATTCAACACGTGTTTAAATACAAATTCTTCATTAATTCGACGCTTGTCTTTGAAGACTGCATTTTTACTTTTTGGCTTTAACGCCATGCTTTGCTACTTTAGAAGTATCAAAATCTTAGGATTTTTTTCCAAGGGTTTTTTTTTACCTTTTCTGAGTTCTTCTGGGCTCTTCATACAGCCGGTGCTACTGTCAAGTAATGATTCAAACGGGACGTTGTAGGCGTTGGGCATGTGTCCTCCTACATAACCTGACAAAGGTAAATATTATTTGAAATATATATATATATATATATATATATATATATATATATATATATATATATATATATATATGAGTAACTGTTATTTTAAAATAAAAGTACACTGATATTTCACAAAAAAAAACTTTGCCAGTCTGAGTGTGTGGCCAAAGAGATCTCTGCAACTCAAGGCGCCTTTGTATGTTTCTTCGTAATAATAATAATAATTCAAGCAGAAATATTACCTTCTGCAGTATTGTTAAACTGCGCACTCGAACGGCCATCCACGACCTGTTCCATTTGATTTGTCAGCAACGGGATCACTTCGTCAAATGACCTTATGAAGTTGTTGTTGGGATTGACTGTAAAATTTCCTTTCTAAATATAAGAAAAATTGGTAAAAAAGAGGTTTGTTTGGATAACATATTGATAAAATGTTATTAACAAATTTCGACGTTTGTCGATTTTTTTTATTTTGCAGGTGAATATTCATATGTAAAAGTATTATGACACTTAAGACAAATTTGATGAGTAAGGACATATATTTAAAATCCGACAATACTTAATAAGTTTAATTTAAATAGTAACCAAGTATTCAATTTCATTTCGTAAATAGAGCATTTATTATTATTATTACATTAACAGAGATGGTATCGGAGGTTGTATTGTTTCCGTCTGCGATCCATTTGGCAAATCCCCCGTCCAGAATGGATACCTTCTCATGACCAAAACGCTGAAAGAAATAATAGGATGATGTTCTAGGAGGTTTCCTTTGTAATTTTGAAATCTAAATCATATCAAGTAGATGGAACTGGTTATAAACATTAAAATGACCATAGGGGCATTAGTTTAGGAATAAGGTGAGCGTATAAGGCTTCGACGATTTGCCTTTTATTAATTGCTATATATTTCGTACTAAAATCTTTCGACAATCAAGCTGTTAAAAAAAAGTTAAACAGCCATTCCTATAGGTAAATGCATTAATATAGCAACATCGTTATAAGCGTCGGACATTTCCCTAAAACAAGACGTATACTTTAGCAATAGGCCTAATCCTAGAAAAACGAGCTTTATTATCTCATATTATACCAGGTTTTGATAAAGTCGGTGTAAAGTCATTGTCAGGTAGATTACCTTGAACATCCAGAACGCCCTACCGCCGATAAAAAAGCCATTTTTACCAGGGATATTGTCATACACAACCACGTGCGTGTCATTATCAATACCCAGAGAGCGAACTTGCTCCTGGAACTTTTCGGGCGGGGGTAGATTACGGGGAAAAAGGGGAGTATTTTCGACGTCTTTCATCAGTTCAAAGAATAGTGCTCCGGGAATGTGAGACCTGCAATAGATGAGAGATTCGAATTCTAAGATCTAAAGCAACATAGACTCACAGACATTTTTTAAAAACTGATCAAAAAAGTTATAATTTAAATTCAAAATAAATAAAAATAGTTACATAGAATCAAACGTATGTTAATTTCAATCCTCTCCAACTTAGTCACACCTGAATAACAAAGCTAAAAAGGTTTACTGAATGCAATCAGACTAAAACGCCTCCTACTGGTATTGAGTAGGAAACAGTAAAGTTAGTACTAGTGATTATACGAGTACGTAGGAATAAGAAGATCTAGAGGTGTGCTTATCTGTTAATTGCATTCAGCGACAGCCTACCGCAGATCTACGTATAACAATAGTTTCAATGGGAATGAACCCTTATAAAAGATCTGTCATGTCTAGCGTAAAGAGGAACGTAAGAGTATCGTATGTGACATCGATTATACGCACAACTTTGAGCGTATGAGATCACCCTGTTTCACCCAAGATACAAGCAGCGTATGAAATTGTTCTTGAATATGCTCAAAATATTTCACCCAAAATACAATCAGCGTATGAATTGATTTTGAATATGCTTAAAATATTTTATCTCCCCCCCCCCTCGAACGTACACCAACGTTTGCCTGCGTACTCGAGACGTATACGAGCTGAGTTTTACTGACCTCTTGTGTCTGTCTGCGTATAGGTATTTTTTTCTTATATGATAGCGCTATAGGTGTGACAGTGCCTTAAAGAGAGCTTGCGAATGTTTGAAATAGTTTCGAATTTTGGAATACCAGTCCAGCTAAATTAAAAGGCTCTCTGTAATATATAATAATATGTGTTTCGTTCACAGATCACTGCTAATAACAGAGCAATGAATTTGTAAACCTATTCATATTCATTTATCATTCCCCATTTGAGGCTTAGCGCCAAAGGTCAAGAGGTCAATAGTAGGCGAGACGACAAGTGCAGTATAGACGGCTATACTCGTAAACTTAGTCCTAAACGTCGCTCATGCAATGACAGCTCAGAAACCTTTCACCCTGAGTTTCCGAGTATATAACAGGCCTAAACGTCGTTCGTGCAGATTGCAGTTCGTATACCTATATAACATGACAACCGACATAACATGATAAAGCACCTATATGCCGCACCTATCAAAATCATCTTTCCCGTTCTTTGCACTGTACCAAGTGACATCCAAAATTCTCAGTTTGTTTCCAACTCCCGCGGCCTCAGCCAGGTGTTCCTTGAGCCATGCCGAGGACACTAGCAAAGGCGTGTCACCATCGGCAGGTTTGGTGGCCATGTCTCGAATACCAACGTGATCTTGTCCCCGGTCCTTTGAGGTTCTCCACTAAGGTGGTGGAAGTGACCTGGTTTATCGTTGTCGCATGAACTCACGTGGCAAGATCACCTTTTCACCAGGCTTATTTAGAGCATTTTTCATGTCGTTCGGAAAAAGAAAGTAAAAGAAAAGATGGCCTCGCTACTTCTCGCGCCTTCTAATGTTTGATGTGGCCAGGGTGATACATGCTAATTATTCCCCTTGATTCTGTTGGTAGTGGAAGCAAGAAAGAGACAACTGTGTGTGTGTGTGTGTGTGTGTGTGTGTGTGTGTGGTG